GAGATTGAACATGTATGTATGGCCTATGTTTGGATTGATGCTAAGAGTTTAAGACAGTGTATTTGTATGCTTTTTAGGAGGACTCTTTATTGGTGAGGACACCACATCATTGTCCAGTTTGAATATGGATTTAGAGTTATTTTTGACGTGAGACCATAACTAATTCAGGAACCCTGGTATACATTAATAAAAACACTGACAGCAAACTCTAAATTTCTTATTAGCAATGATTGACTTTTATTTAAGCCTCTCTGTTGGTAATGTGAACTCTGTACCTGTTGTGTTCCACTTTTAACAAGCATGACAGCTGAATAACTACAGGAGAAATTCACATGTGCTGTTTCACACATTATTGAGATTGCTTGAGGATATTCCCTGAGATGTTAAGTGAATGTTTAATATGTACAGAATGTGCTGAAGAAGATGTGCAGAATTTAAAGTAAACATCGGTCAGTAAGAATCAAACTGACACATGTATAAACACAATCTGGTTTGTTCTAAAAAATACCTGTAGGTGAAAATGAGAACTATAGGTGACAAACCTATGTAATCAACGCACGCAGATTCCCCGCAAAAAGACAGAGTATCGGACAATATAAAGGACTCAGATCCCACTGTATCACGCAAAATCTTCACAGTTCTTAAATTCCTCAATGAGCAGAAGTTCACGCAAAGAATTATAGTCATTGACTTTACACGCATTTATCCATTGGTCAAAAAGTATATCGAACTTAGGTATCGAAAAAGATGGTCCTACCTCCCCACCAACACCAAGAGGGTGTGCACCTGTGTTAACCGAAGTAACTGAATCAGTATCACTATTATCTGCTCAACAAAGCAAAATTAAACGGTTATCTCAGATGAGCCCCCAATTTATGTTACAAACCCCTGCTAAGTTTCAGCACAAAATGAAAAAGGGGAATGCAGCATAAAGAGGACACGTGAATCCAAATGCCAAACGAAAATATTTATTTAACATAAAGAATAACATAAATGGAAACACGTATCCAAACAAGACGACGAGGAACACAAATGAACATAGAATAACTAGCAAAAACAATATACTTCCCCAAAACACGGGGCAGCTCTAAAGCATAAAGTCAATGAAAGAAAAACAAACCAAAAATATAAGGATTAACAGAAAAAGTAATAAAACTTGTTTGCTGGTGGATCTCCTGTGTCACTTCAACGTCCTTTATATAGGGAATCAATCACTCATTACATGAGACGCAGGTGCACCAAGGCGGACCTAAATAATCAGACTCAAGGAGAAAGATTAGGAGAGACATGACGTCACATGAAAGAAGATAATCAAGGCTTAGGCCGTAACAACTGCCTTTATTACGACAGGACAGATCAGAACTGTAAGGAAGCGAAATGGGAGAGAGATAGTGAGGCAGGATCGGAAAAGGTCCTCAAGTTAGGATTCGAACTCGGGACGCCCATAGCGCAACTTCGTTGTATGTCGGCGCAGTGCCCACACAGTGCCCTATCAGTGCGAACTCTATTTGAATATATTTTAAAATTGGTTTAATTTATTCCTGATATGGCAAATCTCATTTTTCAGCCTCAATACTTCAGTTGTCAGTGTCACACGTGTCACATCCTTCAGAAATTGTTCTAATATGTTGATTTGCTTCTTAACCATTTTGAATGAAATGGTTCTAATGCCCCTAAGTGAATGAGTCTGTATAACTTAGACAAAAATGTATGAATTGTGTCACTGTCAAGCATTGTACTGTGGGCTGATCTGGTCAAAGATTGTGCATGACAGAAGAACTAGTGTCATCCCATTTGGATGTGGCTACATGATTTCTTCTGATTTGAGGTGCTTGAACATCAGCAGGGAAACCCTAGAGTGACAGACCTCTGAGAGGATGTCATTATTGTCTGTGTGGATTGAGTTACTGTACTGCTGAAATGGGTTTCATTCATTTTCTATCGCCAAGTAGGGGAAAAAAATCCTCATTTGGGTTTAGAAATGGGGAATGTGGTGGAAGTAGTACCATGCAAGAGAACAGAAGCCATTCAATGTGCACTATATTGTAAATGGTCTCATATATGTTGCAGCACAGGTTGTGTAGTCTGAGCTGTGCATTATTCATAGATGAATTTCAAAGGCAGTGCTGTGTTGTATAATGCACTTGTGACCTGAAGACCTGAATGACCTGAAAGACCCCTTTGCAAACCAAGAGCAAGCACACAGCAGACTCATACAAAGGGTGAATACATTCACTCATGCTCAATCATAAAACACAATGCATTATAACCTGGGGGTGTAAACTTTTTAACAGAATGATCATGTGTATTTTTTTCTTATTTTGTTTGCCTTTCAGATACCGTGGAAGATACAAAATATGTATCTTAATATAACAACATCCCTGATCGTCCTGTTCAAGAAGTTTGTTTGCCTATACTTTTGACTTTGATGAAAACATGCAAACGTGTTCCAGATTTGAAACAACTGCATTCACAATGTAAATGTACTATAGCACACTTTCCAAAAACAATAACTGTGAAATTTGTGTGGAAGTAACAGAAACAGTTTTGTAGACATTCTTCTGTCATATTAGCATGAGCAATGATGCCTTGAAGGTGTATTGATTTGGTCATAGTGTGTATCCAATTTAAATAGATTGCAGTTGAATTCTCATCTCTTGGGAAATATATTCTGATACATTTCTAAATCATGCTCCTAAAAGGAAAACTGCCCATGGGCAAAGCATGATGCAAAAAGTAAATACCATCTGAACACCAAGGCTTCATTCTGAATAATTTACCAAGTTTACAGTATATTCTAGATTTGCACCTGAGCCGCATTGATGCAACCGCTCAGGTGCAGCATTAGTAACGCAGATGAAAAGATCTTGTAGGAATGTGCATGGAGAAAGAATCACTGCACGTTCTCTCTCTCTTGCAGTGAAGTGTGAGCCTTTACCACGATGTGGAGGAGGAGCCTTCATATGTGAGGGGGAGTGAGGGAGGGAACGCAAAGAGAAACGGAGAAGCGGAATGAGAGGAGCTGAAGGCTGTTCAAGTACTGTTGCATTCTGCAAGCACCTCTAGCTTGCCTGGACACCAGAAGCTTCTCAGTATCACAATGAATCTAAATCGTGGATATACAGTCAATTCTCATCCCATAAGCTGGTAAGTAAAAACAACTGATTGGAATTCTCACACCAGCATCAGATTCTAGGATGTTGTGTTGGCTCTCTGGCATTCACAGTTAGTACACATTTTCCATAACATCTCAAGAATGATGTTTAATGTATGTATATTTCTATGATGACCTTGGATGTTTTATCTTTATTTATCTGAAAATAATTTTAGACTGCAAGATGCATTTATATTATATTACACACAATGCATCTACGCATTACGTTGTTTCTTTGTTTAATGTGTCTGTATACTCTATTTAATGTTTATTTAGTATATTTATATATGCTTCATTGTGCATGCTTCATTACAACATTTTTCAATATATTTTAATGCTATTTTTATGTCTTTGTCTAGAGGAATGCAGTTCATGTACTGAGATGCTTTTATTTGGCTCTGAGTTCATGAAAGTTTGACGTAATTAATTTTAAATGGTAAATGAGTTTAAAAGGTGGTTAGAGAGAGACAGTGTGAGGAGGTTTGGTGCGCCATTTGTCAAGTGACAAAACGGATGCACTCCGTGACTGTAACCAAAGGGATCAGTTTAACAGCCCTGCTTCTTGAAGGACACTTCATGTTATATTCACTGGCAGCTAGTCAGCTGGCTTCACATGAAAGACAGTCAGGTGTGTTTACAAAGGGAATTGTTCCCTAACAAAGACGGCAAAGCAAAGAAGAGATGCCAAATGCCAGAAAAGCAAAAATATTCAACATTTGTCTTGCCAGCACCGACTTAAGTGGTGTCTCTGTCTCTTAAAGCTAGAACACACATGCTTGTGTGGTATAAATCTATAAATAATCTAATCCCTGAAATTATTTCTACAAAAGAGTCTGTACTGACAGATCAATAAGGCTGAAGCACAATTCACTAATAGGGGATTCCTACAGTGCTAGTCTGCTTTAGAGCCGTCATTTCTGAAAACAGAGTAAAAAGAGAGGCTCTTAAAGCTACTGTTGAGAAATAAATGCTTTTGAGAACACTTCATCTATAGTTAATAATACACATCCATTTCTGACTTCCTCTTTACTCTCAATTACCTATAAAGTCATTGCAGAAGTGAGAAAATAACTGTAATGAATGTGTCCCGGAGAGCTATACCTCTCAGAGTAAACGGCTTCCTGTTCATTTACCACTATAATGGTCTTACTAAATAATGAGTCACACTCTGTTCCTGCTAGACAAAAAAAAAGAAATGAATGAATAAAAAAGCTCAGCAATATCATCCGATCATCCAGTTTATGTTGTTTCATCAAACAAAACAAACTAAAGTAAATGCAATTGTTTTAGAAGAGGGTCTAAATTTTAGGAGGTCAGCATTTTCATTATATCATGATGAATTCTGAAAGACAGTCAGGTGTGTTTACAAAGGGAATTGTTCCCTAACAAAGACGGCAAAGCAAAGAAGAGATGCCAAATGCCAGAAAAGCAAAAATATTCAACATTTGTCTTGCCAGCACCGACTTAAGTGGTGTCTCTGTCTCTTAAAGCTAGAACACACATGCTTGTGTGGTATAAATCTATAAATAATCTAATCCCTGAAATTATTTCTACAAAAGAGTCTGTACTGACAGATCAATAAGGCTGAAGCACAATTCACTAATAGGGGATTCCTACAGTGCTAGTCTGCTTTAGAGCCGTCATTTCTGAAAACAGAGTAAAAAGAGAGGCTCTTAAAGCTACTGTTGAGAAATAAATGCTTTTGAGAACACTTCATCTATAGTTAATAATACACATCCATTTCTGACTTCCTCTTTACTCTCAATTACCTATAAAGTCATTGCAGAAGTGAGAAAATAACTGTAATGAATGTGTCCCGGAGAGCTATACCTCTCAGAGTAAACGGCTTCCTGTTCATTTACCACTATAATGGTCTTACTAAATAATGAGTCACACTCTGTTCCTGCTAGACAAAAAAAAAGAAATGAATGAATAAAAAAGCTCAGCAATATCATCCGATCATCCAGTTTATGTTGTTTCATCAAACAAAACAAACTAAAGTAAATGCAATTGTTTTAGAAGAGGGACCGAAGGTCAGCATTTTCATTATATCATGATGAATTCTGACAGCCAATTAAAGCCTAATAGGACATGTCCACATTTCTGCATGAAGAGGATTAGTCACCTATACTCTGCATACTTCTTTTTTTTTTTATTGTCAGCTGGTTGTGTCATACTTTTAACACGCACTTTGTCAGCCTATTAGGCAGCACAGCATTACATTCGCTAGCCCAATTCCCTGAAATCTTTAGCTTTTTCTCACTTAACAAATGCTCTTTGAAAAGCTTTTGTGATTTCAGGTTTGCATTGTTTTTCTAGAAGTCACCTATTGCATTTTTATATGTTATTAATAAATATATGTATAAAGAATTTATTTACATTATTTATAAATCTTTCTTCATCACTATTATTGGTTTGTAATACTAGTGGTGCTCTCTAGAATATCTAAACATCCTTGAAACAAGAACAACCATGCTTGAGAAGCTACATGATTTAATATATTAAGATTTTTCAGACAATATATCTTGAATTCGGTTTTCCTTCACCCCAATTTTTTTAAACGCCATAGCATTTTTTTCTAGTTTTAAATCTACCAAAATGTTGTAAATAAAGTTCATTCAACATATATTCTCTGAAAACAAGTCTTATCTCACATAATTTTGCTTCTCAAATAAATTGATCCTGTTTTTGCAGTATAATCTGATTCAGCATGTAGATCCCCAGAAATTAACTATAGTTTGAAATGGAAAAAAAAATCTACATTAATATTAAATCAATCAAATCAATCAAAAACATATTTACAGTTCTATAAAATATTATTTACTGGGAAGATATTTCTATTCCCCAGATAACTATATCATTAAAGCTGTGTGCTTGTTAATGTAAAAGCTAAAAAGTGTGTTTTTTCTTCTTCCTCTTTCCATAGCCTGATCAATAATTGAAGAGGAGAAATCGATGTTGACTGTTTCTGAGCAACACCTATTGGGACATACTGTGCGATTAACCACTGGTAGGCAATTGCATTCCTTCTCATTTGCCAGGTTAAACCAACAACAAAATGCCTAATATAATCCTGCCATAACCCAATGTATTGCACTCTATTCAGTCCACGATATCATGCCACATTGACATTGTATTTTTATCCCCAAACAACTCTCCACTAAGATGAAAATGAATTTGTCCATTTTCATTTCGATTAGTATTCAACCAGATGGAGACATGCTCTTCATATCTTGATGAGGCCGGTACATTTCCCTTAGAGAGGTTATGATAGCTTTCTGAAATTGATTTTAGTCTTGACTCCATTTCATTCTTCAATCCTCTTTGTACTTGCACCAGCTTTCAGGATCTTTTGTAATCACAATGTACTTTTTTCATGTTCATCTTGAGGTCCGATCCTCCTGATATTTGCTCTCAGTGCGGGTCTAGCTATATGGTTTTTCACAAGAGCTTTTATATCTCATCATGCTGCGATTCAGATTCTGGAAAGATATGTGAGATTTTCAACCATGCACTTTACGTCAAATCCTCACATTCTTCGTGAGAGGAAAGTCCCTAGTGACTCTATGCACCAGTGTCTAATAATTTATGGCCTTTTGCAGGGCTCTTCATGTCTTAAAATGTCAGATCCCGAGGACCTGAATAAAGCCATGGGACACTGGAACGCCTCCGAGAGCTACCAGCTCAACCCAGCCAGTGTCATTGTGTCTGTGGTCTTCTCGCTCATCTTCCTTCTGGGGACTATTGGGAATAGTTTGGTGCTGGCCGTGCTCCTCAAAAGTGGGCAGGTTGGGTATAACACCACCAATCTATTCATCCTCAACCTCAGTGTAGCCGATTTCTTCTTCATCATCTTCTGTGTGCCTTTCCAAGCAACCATATACTCTCTGGAGGGTTGGGTTTTCGGGTCCTTCATGTGCAAGGTGGTTCACTTCTTCATCAACCTCACCATGTACGCTAGCAGTTTCACTCTGGCTGCAGTGTCTGTGGACAGGTGGGTTTCTTTAGCTATAATTAAATAATTGATATATTTTTTAAGAAAATAAACTCTCTTAAAACACTTTTCACACTCTCACTGGTTTATTTTATTTAGCTAATATTATGCTAATATGTACAGTGTATATGCATACATCACAGAAAATTTGTTATTGTTTTACTTTTATTTATTTCAGTAATGCTTTGTGTTAAAGGAGACATATTATGCCCCTTTTTACAATATGTAATATAAGTCTCTGGTGTCCCCAGAATGTGTCTGTGAAGTTTCAGCTCAAAATACTCCACAGATAATTTATTATAACACTTTGAAAATGCCTATTTTGAGTGGAAGCAGAAACTGCTTTTTCGTGCCTGGCTCTGTAAATGCAAATGAGCTGCTGCTCCCCGCCCCCTTTTCCAGAATAGAGCTGCACCATTACAGTTTGGACCTGCTAAAAACATCTGTTTTGGTTCTGATTATCATGTTTATCGCGCTGAAATCATGCATTTTAAACCATACGAGTTTATACTTCTGATATACGGTTTTCTGAGTGCACACATCCGAAGCACACGGACAGAAAGCGGCTGTCACGGCATGTGAGTACTAAACTAAGTTCTCATTCACACACAAGTTTACGTAAAAAAAAACACATGGGACCTGATTAAAGCACTTAAAACCTGGAAAAGTCAGATTTTCATGATATGTCACCTTTAATGGCATTCTGTGATGGAAATTCTGGTTGAAACTTTATTAACTATGTTTGGAAATAAAACTGCCATCTCCTTTGTCTTGTAAAGGCTAATTTCATAGCTAACATTTTATGAATCCTAATACACACAATTAAACTATATTTTCACAATTTGGGCATAATTTGAAAAATGTGGAAATGACAATATTCTGTTCTCAGGTGATATCCACATTTATTTATTTTTCTTTGTTTTCTGGGGGAAAAAACTTTATTAGGTGCAAAATTTCTCAGTGAGTTGGAGATGATGCGACAACTATGAAAAAAGAATGAAAATGTATATGGATTATTTTTACACAATAGATATAGAAATGGTTTATCTTTATTCTTTGTTTAGAATATCATGAGTTTAAACACATACTCATTCATTTTTATGCAGGATTTTAATTGTATAAAATGACAAGTCATGATCTCAGACAAGGGAAGTAGCACAAGTAAATAAAGATGGCATGGTAAAAAGTATTAATGTGATATCCATATGACAATCAGAAGTAAATTAAAATCTATTCGTTTTAATAAAAGTTGTAAACCCTTGGGACATAAAAGTTAATGACCTTTAAAGACAACCAAGGCATGCTGATTATACGTAACATTAATCCTGTCAGGTGAAGTTCACACTAGGCTTAATAGCATCATGGCTTTCCTTCACGTAACATTTTCACTGTAGCTCCATGGGGTCTAAAACGACATCCTAAAGCAGAATTTAACAGCGTTGTAATTGGTCAGGGCCAGATTTGTTATTTAATTAAATGGATCGCCTGAACACAAGAAAGTCTTGCAAATTGCATCAGCAAAGGTTGGAGTTTAACTGCATAAATGTCAGTGGAGTTATCGCCAACGACCCACTTCATTAATAAAACACCTCCAAAAACCTGCAGCCCATTATTCCTGTCTTTACAACGAAACAGTGAAAAAAGAAGCATTAGTAGCACGGTTGCACCCACCCGTATCCACTTACTGGTATGTTAGCTAAAATTATGTAACATTAAGGTCGAACTAAAGCACCAGTGACGAGTGGGACTCGTGAGCTGACCCCGGAGACAGCTGAATGGGAGAGCCAGCCAGCCTTTTTGCTGAAATAATGGCATAAATGTAACAAGGCCACCTATATGCCCCAGTGTAATATGTTACTCTCAGCCTGAGCAACAGACCCACTGCCCTCCATCCCCACTCAAAGTGTTTACCTTTGAAAAAAGCATGTTAAGTTTCCTGCTCTGTGAAAAATGGTCCAGGGCTCAGTGGAAGCTGAGAATCCCCTTTGGCAATTACCTCATCTTTAAGTAGTAAACAACAAGACACATTCATCTTGTGCACCGAAACCTCTGGCTATATTGATCATATGGTGTTTCAGGGCAAACTCAATTTCAGGATGAACATTTCCTGTGTTTCTTTATACATGACTACAGAGCCAATTTTTCACAGCTCCATTTGAAAGGTGGGTTTCTTTTTTTTTTGCAGGTATCTAGCCATCCGTTACCCCCTGCGCTCCAGAGAATTGAGAACGCCGTGTAACGCCATAGTCGCGATGGTGGTAATCTGGGGCCTGTCGCTTGTTTTCGCCGGGCCTTATTTGAGTTACTACGACTTGATTGATTTCGAAAACAGCAATGTGTGTGTGCCTGAATGGGAGGAGCATAACCGTAAGGTTCTGGACACCTGCACCTTTGTTTTTGGCTATGTTATTCCCGTGCTCATCGTGAGCCTGTCCTACACACGCACCATCAAGTACCTCTGGACCGCGGTGGATCCTCTCGATGGGATGTCGGAGTCGAAACGAGCCAAGCGCAAGGTCACCAAGATGATCATCATAGTCACGGTGCTATTTTGCATCTGCTGGCTACCGTACCATGTGGTCATTTTGTGCTACCTCTACGGAGACTTTCCCTTCAATCAGACCACCTACGCCTTCAGGCTGCTGTCCCACTGCATGGCCTACGCCAACTCTTGCCTCAACCCTATCGTTTATGCCCTGGTGTCCAAACACTTTCGGAAGGGCTTCAAGAAGGTGTTCAGCTGCATCCTCAGTAAAAAGGGACGAAATAAGGTGCACGTGGTCCATGTGGCCAACACCGTCCCCAGCTTCGAAGCGGGATCCACTGAAGTGTCTCAAATGAACGAAGAGAACGCCAGACAGAACGAGAACGAAATGGTCAACCGCCCACTCGCAGAGCCGCAGGACACCACTATGACTATAACGCTACCCTTCCAGAATCAGCCATGAAAATAAAGCGCATGGCTAATGATGCCTTACAGAAGCCTTATTAAAAAACTCAAACCGAGCCGGAGGATTTCAGCAGCTTTGATCGACATCACCATGGTTTTGCATTTACGGAGTTCGTAGTTATTTAAGATTCAAATCGCTGAGCAAATTGAAAACGTACATTCAATTTGGTTGTCGTACAAATGCATCTTTGTGTTCTGCTTAGTTGTTTTGGTTCCAGTGCTAAATTATGCCTTATTTACGAAGTACTCTTTCTTTTTTAAGGAGCACTGTATGTTTGTTTTCTATTGATGTGTTACCCTCTGAGCATGTTTCAATTTAATGCTGTGATGACTATTCTCCTGTGAAAATTTGTTACCAATTATTGTGCGTATGACACACTTTAATATCTGAAGAGCCCTGTGTCTTTATGTGAGCAAAGCTGTGATTTCCTACTGTGCATGAAGCTTTGAAGAGGACTCTTTGATTATGCTCCTCAGCTTCGCTTAACAAGCTCTTTAAAAAATATGCTTACGTTAAGTACTGTATGTTCTTGATTTTACCTCTGTTTCCAGCCTCTGATATTCTCTGCTGTTTTAGAAAGTCTTGAGATTATTTAATTATATAAATTACTACATTGCAAAAGCCCTAAAAACAGGGTTATACAGAAAATCTCAGATTACAGACAACCAACAGTTTAGTACGTATGGTTCTTGTGCTGTCTTAAAGGAATATTCTGGATTCGGTACAAGTTAAACTCAATCTACAGCAATGGTGATATAATGTTAATAAAAAAATATTTTGAACAATACCTCCCGGGTTACAGTGAGGGGCCCACAACTGAAGTAAATGGAGCCAGTATTGGGGACGTAAATGTTAAAATAATCACTGCGTCAATAGTACAGCCACAAGATATTTTCAATATTCTTTTAGTGTGGAGGAAATACTTTCTAACCTTTTCTGTGTAAAGTTATATCAGTTTTTTCAACATGACAACATCTAAAACTCTAAAACAACCATAAAATGAAAGCAAAAATTAACCATAAGTGATGAGAACAAATTTACAGTTCAAATAACACAGACGTTTTAACAAAATTGTAATGCTTATATGAAGTTATAAATGTAACATTTGAGCTGTTAAAGTCTCAAAAACTGGCCATTCAGCTTGGACATTTGGAAATGTCTCACCATAATCTTGTTTTTGCTTTGTCTTAAGAGAGAGAGAGAGAGAGAGAGAGAGAGAGAGAGAGAGAAGAGAAAGATATATGGCTAAATTATTTTGTGATAATCAAAACAAATGCTGCAGATTGAGCTTAGCTTGTACAGAACCTGGAATATGTCTTTATCTGTCTTCAGTTCATTCATTATGTATTATGTACTGTAGCTATACAGCAAGTGCTATGTTGGAAGTTTTGAATTTGATGTTGACAGTGAATTTCAATAAAAAGTGCATTGATAATCCTCTTGGACCAGCATAATATTTTAATATATGCAAATAAATGACCCCAGTGCATTTAGCAGTAGCCTGAGTAACCTTGAACCACCCTTTGGGGGATGTTTCATACTAGATCAAAACTTTATTTTCCCCTGGAGGCTCAATAAGAGAGCTGCAGCATTAAGTCAAAATTAAAGTTTAATGTCTTCTATTGAAAAAACAACTTGAAGCAGAAGGAGTGAGGGAAGCACTGATGCATACACCATAAATGACAATAAGTCGAGATGCACTTCTTAAGTTATTACAACAACAAGGTGAACAAATCTTTTTTTTTTTCTTAGCTTTTAGAGGCTTCTTTCAAATCATCCTCAATCTTATTCAAGGCAGACTTTCAAAACTTCATAAATTATAATGTTTCATCACTTGGAGAAGCTAGGTACTTTGGTAAACATTACAAATCAGCCACTAATTCCTGCCTGATGCACTGAGTTTATGTTTATTAATCATGGACATGGGCTATTTATTCGTATTACACTCTTTGCTTTTTGAAAATGTAACAGCAAAACACTGCACATAAATATGAAACAAACCAGTCATGAAAATTTAAAAAGCTTCAATATTACAAGCAGCACTCATCAGTAATGCAGCATTAAGAAAATGAAGCCTCATTTGGCTTGTTCTGCATATTAGTTGTTGATGGCGAATTCGAAAGCTTCCGTGCACAATTAAGTATCCGCTGCCATTTCTGCATATTTACAGCAGTTAGTTCATCCAAGGATATTTATTTAAGCTCTCAGTGTCATTAAGGATCACTTAGCGTTTCTGTCAAGCTGCAGAATTAAGAAAACATTTCCTAATGCTTGACGTAATCTGACAATATGAACGTCAATGTCAAACATATGTCTTTGATCTCACAGAAAATAAATAAATAAGTTAACATCTTCACACAGAGATGGATTTTTGCCAGTTTCGAGATCATGAGGAGCTCAACATAGCAACCTCTTAGCTTTAATATATTCCTCTTGGCACTCCACTGTTTCCTGAGAAAACACCAATAATTATACCAGTCTCTAATATGCTAGTATACTTAATCAATCTACTTCATGTCGTGTCATGATTTATGCTGGGTCTAAATCAAACATAGACATTTTTTTCTGAAATGCATAATTTTTTTCTGAAATGCACAATGAAAGAAACACTTACCCTTGAGTAACCATTTTAATATTTCTCCCTATATACTGAGTAGTCTAAAAATATAAAAACACTTCAGTGTTCCTCATAACTTAATTACATCTGCTGTAAATTTCAGTTACATTGACTGTGGCTTACATAACAGTGACATCACAAAAAACAGGGTGCATATAAACACACAAACTACATAATAACACTTATTTTGGCCTTTATTAACAGCAGATGAATAGGAGATCCTGCAGGAAATTGAGGCAGATTTATATTACAAAGAGAAAAGCTCATACAGTTGTTTGTGTATTGTACATCAGTGAATTATGGAATTATGCTGTAGACTTGGATAACTGAGATGGTTCATGAACTTTAGATTGAGTAGATGTCAACTTTAATGAAATGTGATGTGAATGAAAACAAGGCTCTGAGGGATGGTCTGTTCAATTGATTGTACAGGGCTAATATCTTGTAAACCATTAGTTCTGATCCTTGAATTTGATTGGCTGAATACAGTCAAGAGTGCTGATATACAGTCCTATATACAATACTAGTAATTTTCACTATCAGTCTGTGTATTATTGGTAGCGATTTTTCAGTGAATCTTTCTACGCATGGCTATTCCAGTAGATGGAAGGAAGTCTATGAAATCATGCAATCATTCACTCAATGATTCATTTAAAACACAGATTCATTTAGAAACAAATTAATTATGAGTCAGTCATTGAATCATTCACTCAACTGATTCATTTAAAAAAACAGATTTGTTCAGAAACAAATGAACTATGAATCAGTCATTGAATTATTCACTGATTATGGCGTTATTTTAATGACAAATGTCGAGCGTGAATCTCTCCGCTCGCGCGCGGATTTCTTTTGCTCTTGCACAAAACCGGACGCGCGCGCTCAGATACACACTGCTCTCGCCCGGAGAGAGTGCGCGCACTTAAAACGTGTCTCTCCTCTCACTCAAACTGTGTCCTGTGCACTCTCAAATCTCTGTGCTCATGCACTATAGATATTAATTCTTCTCGCACCTGAATTAAACGTTGTCAAAGGTTATCATTATGCGCATATTATCAAAATCAGAACTGAAAACAAACACTGGATTAAAAAAAAAAAACTCCCAATAAATGTCCAAGCAGCGATGCTATTAGAGCATTTACTGTATTATATCTTGCATCATTTACATCTATTTTTGCATTTGATATTGATTTGAGGAGTTGTTACTTATTACTGTCATTATACCAACTAAGAATTTATTGCAATGATTTTAAATTCAGTTGAGGTATCTGACATATTATGACATAACATTGATGTTTTATATGAAGTCTTTAGAGCCATAGGCTATAATATGTTGTTTTTAGATAAATTGCTCAGAGACCAACCAGTTGGACAGAGGTATTATTTACAAATCATCCAAGCACCCAATTCCCAGCCATTTCTATAGGCTACATTTCATTAACATTGCTAAATATTATTAAAGTGGAAATAAATTAAAGGTCCATCTTTGATTGTCAAAAGAATTCCAGGTTCAGTTCACTCAGCCAATTAGATTTCACGTAGTATTTTCATCGGTCAGTTGTGGAGGTCTGATTGGTTTAAGCTTTATTTATATAGCGCCTTTTAAAACAGTGTATACAAAGTAGCCTACATAAAAGAGATATAGTAAAACAAAGTAGCTACAATAACCAGTTTATGTTAACACAAAAATACAACAATAAAAAAATCAAGGAAAGGCACTGCACAAATCTGTTTTGAGACTACTTTTTAAAAGTGGATACTGATAACTTTTGACAACGTTTAATTCAGGTGCAAAAATAATTAATATATATAGTGCATGAGCACAGAGATTTGAGAGTGCACAGGACACAGTTTGAGTGAGAGGAGAGACACGTTTTAAGTGCGCGCACTCTCTCCGGGCGAGAGCAGCATGTATCTGAGCGCGCGCGTCCGGTTTTGTGCGAGAGCAAAATAAATCCGCGCGCGAGCGGAGAGATTCGCGCTTGCGCATTATATTAATGTGCTTTCGCGCTACAATAATGCGCTCTCGACATTTGTCATTAAAATAACGCCATAACTGATTCGTTTAAAAACAGATTCATTCAGAAACAAATTAACTATGAGTCAGTCATTGAATTATTCACTCAACTGATTCGTTTAAAAAAACAGATTCATTCAGAAACAAATTAACTATGAATCAGCCATGGAACCCTTCACTCAACAGAATTGTTTAAAAAAACTGATTAATTTAGAAACAAAATAAATATGAGTCAGTAAAAAAATCATTCATTTGAACGATTTGTTTAAAAACAAAGATTCTTTTAGGAACTAAATAACTGTCAGTCATGGAATCATTCACTCAACCAATTAATTTAAAAACACAGATTCATTTAGGACCAAAACACCG